TCCCTCCTCCTCCTCCTCCTCCTCCTCTTCCTCCTCCTCTTCCTCCTCTTTTTCTTCCATATTTTGCTCTTTTTCTTTTTTCTCCTTTTCTGCTTTCTTTCTTCTTTACATCTTCTTCCTCTTCCTCTTCTTCTTCTTCTTCCTCTTCCTCTTCCTCTTCCTCTTCTTCTTCCTCTTCCTCTTCCTCTTCTTCTTCTTCTTCCTCTTCCTCTTCTTCTTCCAATTCATTTTCTTCATCCTCTGCTTCATCTTCTTCCTCTTCTTTTTCTATGTCTTGTAATATTATATTTGACTTATCTAATTCATTTTTACTTTCTGCTTCGATACTCATGACATTTGTTCTCTTTGCATCTGGAACTTCAGTCTCCGAATCCTATATGTTAAATATGATCATTTTATAGAATTGTATTTTATAAATTATGAATCAAAATAATTCATTGGCAATTATTTATTAAATAAAATAAAGAATGAGTCACGTCATCTAATCATGTTGAATCTTTAAATTTTTAATTTAATTAAAATATAAATATAACTTTTAAGATTATTTCTGAATAATATAAAAATATTCAAGTGTAAACATATGCAAATGACAAGATAATTAAAATCCACTTCCATTTTAATAAAACATAAAATAATGATGCCGTAAATTAACTGTGAGAAGCTTTTATCACTCGAAATAATGATATAAAATAAGTCATCTCTTCATTATTTATAAAATGTCATACCATTCTAATACGTTTTAATTGTCTTAGATTATTCGAATTGCTCATTATAAAATTTGCTTTTATACTTTCAAACTTTCAGATTATTATTGTTAACTAGTCATATATCACTCTTAGAGGATATAAAGTACACATAGATTTTCAAATATTTACAAACACAGTATCCAGTTTATCATAAAACGCAAGCGCGTACACTTGGCGACGAGCCACGACCGTGTCTCTTGATTAGTAAATATCTAATTATATAAGATAAATATCTAAGTATTTCTTAAATAAAATACTTTGTAGAATTTACAATATTTATTGTTTAATAATTTTATCTTTAATATTTTTTATGTATAGAATATAATAAAATAAAAAAATAATTAATGTAAAGCAAACATTTAATTTTATATTTAAGAAATCCATATTTTAGATCGTTAAATGTATTTACAATCTTGTATCTAATCAAAGTCTAAAAAGTGTCATAAAAGTTAAGTTTCATTGGATCAATATTTTCTTATATTCAATTCTTTTTCTGTAAAAAAATATAATCCGATTAAATTACATGACTCATTTTATGTAATCACGAAAAGTTTAACATCAATATTAAGTGCCATAAAAATAGCACATAATACCTTAAATGTAAAAAATACTGTATAGAAAATAATATATATTATTTGTATAATTATAATGATTAATATGTTAATGTAAATTGTAGATAATTAATGCTATAGTATTGTTTCTTGCAAAAGACAATTTGCATAACATATTATGTCATTAGCATTATGCATAAAAATTTATAAACTTATCGAAATTATAGAAATAAAATTAAAAACAAATCACTCTCTGTTATTCATATATAATTTGTATACACGCGGACAAAAACAATATATTAAATAAATATAAGTTGCCCGTTTTCTTAAACAAAATATAAATCTCTGAAACAGATTGAAAATCTGCAAAGTATGCTCTTCCAGTTTAGCAATCTATTTCAGAAACACTCAATGTAATTCTTGACAAGATTTAAGTTTGTATTATAAATAAGCCAGTGTTTTTTGTATTAAAATTAAAATATTAGTGAAACATAAAAGATACAAGGCACTAGTCATTAATACTTCGAACAAATCACAGAGAATAATAGGAACAGAAATAATAAACGTTAAAATCAGCGCATTACTCATACCCATACATGTAATAGCCAAGAAACCATTCTTTGCACTTAGTTCTTGCATTTAGTTCCTGTGATTTGTGATCTCTATATTAAGTAACCTATACAGAAGTTAGGCAAACAATTAAATGAATGAAAGAATCACCAAATAAAACAAGGCTCCGCAGATTCATTTGATTCTGTTGGTAATTCTAATATTTCCTTACAGCTGGAATCTGGTCGAGACTGATGAGGGAGAGAGTCATCTTGCCTGAGAGAACAACTGGCGCGTCGTCGTCGTCTTCTGACTTTTCAGCTTGAGTTTCTGAATCAGTCACTAGTAATTCACATTGTGGCGGAAGTGCACCCTCTAAATATATGGGTTTTGGCGGCGTTTTTTCTCTTTCAACATTACTGAAAAATAACAATATTCAAATTATTCAGAAATTATTAACAATAAGAATAAAAAAAAAAGATATAACGAGTACCTTGGTATAGGAATAATAGGAGTGGTAGGTCTACTACATTTCTGTCCACTTTCACAACTAGCTGTCATTTCCATACCCATAACTTTAACTGTCGGCGATTGTTCTGCTGCATCTAACTCTTCACTTTCCCTACTATGTGATTCCCGGTCTGCAGTGTCCTCCTGTAAATTATATTCTTAATATGCTGTTCTCTTATTACATGCTTCTCATATGGTTTTTACATTTTTAAATAAAAATATATATAATACATTTAATATCAAAGCAACTTTGCTGATTTGATTAGAGCTATTTTATATATACAATCAATATATATAAAAAAAGTAAAACCATTCAATTAAAAAAAAAATGTTATATTAAAGATTCTATGTCTATTTAAAAAATATAGCATATATAGTTATAATTATATATAGAAATCAAAGATGTTATATAAATCCATATCACTTATATATATATTATACATTTCATAATATATCAATAAAATGTAAAATAAGCAGATGTAAAATAAAACATCATGCAAGGCATACAATTAGTATTTGTATTTAAGAAGCTATAGGTAGAATAACTATTGAATTGCTAACTTATATTTCAACAATATTCAGCATTGAGAGAAATAATATATGTATCTTACTTATATAAAAGGACAATAGTGGGACATTCGTTTAAAACACTGAAATATTGTTACTGTAGAATCATATTAACGAAACTATATCATATATAAGCCCATAAGAAACATTTAACGTGATAAACACATTATTCATGAAACTAGTGCACTAGAAATAGAAAGTGTTTCACAAACTCTTTGTTACTCTTGTTAGAAATATTTTCTGAGGCAAGGGATATACCTTAGATCCGCGATCGACCCCTGCCAGACCATTGGACTTTGGAGACCCATCTACTACTCAAAATGTAAAATACACAACGTGAATTCTGTTTCTGAACGCATATTCTGACTTAAATGTTTGTACTGAAAATATCGCACTCGACTAATACATCAATATAAATCTGATATGGACTATAAACATTTAAATCAATAAATTTGTAATATTGTAACAGTTATCCGCGAGCACGGATATTTGAAAAAGCCAAATATTGAAGATAAAGTCTTATATTAAATGTACAACATGTTTAATGTACATTGGATGGATCAAGCTTGTAACGCAATCAGAACACAGCGACGTGCACATTTCTAACGACTAATAAACTGAAACTTGTGAATGGCGACAAAATTAATCTGATAAACCTTGATTTCTGGCTGTGAGCTTGAGTTATGCATTACTGAACGTGATATGTTGCCCATTTGGACAACAATTCTTTCCATGGCTGCTTCCGTCTCGACCAATCGTTGTCTCAGTTGATCTATCTCTATGTCTCCTGCCGCTTCTTGTGTTCCAGCATGTAGAACATTACCAAACGTGTTCAGAATATAAATACGAATACTTGCAATACGCACAGTTTGTATTCAGAATCTTGCAATGTATATTCGCGTGTATAAATACATGTGTGTTCTAATTGTGCAAACCCTTGCATCATGCAACACCACTTAAGGATCTGTTTAGATACTCAAAAGACAACATGTATCTTAAGTCTAAATATATCTTTTCCGAAAGAGAAAATAGCTCCTCATAAAAACAAAACATTGCGTTGATGATAATGTAAATGAAATGTGGTTGATAATAATGGATATTCATAGAACCACTTACGATCATTTAACTCCTCGATAGTTGGAGCAGTTTTGTGTGGTGACTTCTCCCTCGGATAATGTAGAGCGCCTCCAGTCATTGCAGACGCGAGAACTTCTGGACTGAATACCATTTTCCGAAATTCCTTTTCTGCAGCTGCTCCCGGATATTCCGAAATAATTTCGCTATCGGAATTCTTTTTCAAAACCTGTTACACATAAACTTTGAGACCTCATTGAATCCATATCACAGTTAGAATTATTCTATAGATTCATACGCGCGCGTTACCTTAATAATGGTGTATACGAAAAACAAAACTATCCCTATTGTATATAGCGGCATCACAATCCCCATTGTACCGTTTCCCTTGGGTGCTGGAACAACACGACCAGCACCGCCAAGAGGTGGTCTCATTTTTGGTTTAACAAGGTCTGGCCTGTCTATTATCTTTGGTACGATGTGAGAAGATGGTATAGCCCTTCCCCTTTCTCTCAACGCAGGATGCATTCCGCCTGCATGAGGAGGAGTACGACGCTCTTGTGGTATAGTATCTGTATAAAAAAATTCAAGAGTAAGCAGTTTGTAAAATATATGTTTATTTATCTCATCTCACAAAAATGTATTATATCAGAGATTAGTACTTCATTAATTCATAAATCAGAAAAACTGTTATAAAAATACAGAGCTAATTAATAATTTATAAAATCTAGGATAGAATCTACATTGAAAACCTAAATAAGGGAGGATATAAAGGGTCATTAGTATGAGTGTATTTGAAACTGACTATAGGCCAACTCTCGTCTGCCAACCATCATGCTTATTTTTTTGGCATTCAGCCAAAAGCAAAAAAGCTTGAATCCGTTGTCCATATATACTCGATGATGTGATATTAAAGACGCAAAATTTATCTTATTATATAAGCAATTTACAAACCATGTGGTCATCATATGCGATCAAGATAAATTAATATAAAATCAATTCGAATCACAATAATGTTATATCAAATTATAAATTTATCAAAATTGAATCAAGACATCTCAAGAATATTCAGAAAAGCAGTTATAGAGAGTTAATGAATTATTAGTTAATTGTATATAAAAATAGTACAACGCTTTATTAATTCTTGATTAACAACTCTTGTACATCTTTGTGACTCTTACTGTGTGGCATCAAGATATGATATCTGATAAGATGAGGCATCCCTAATTGCGACAGTGGCACGCCAAAATTCACTTTAAGGCAAAGGGAGCTATTGAACGAACGAATTTCCTCTAACACTTGTCTGTAGGTTTTCCCCAAGCTTTCCCGTTCGGCGAGGAAAGATGACAAGTCTATGCTACATCTGGCTAGGACCTCCTCTCTACACAAGCTCGCGGTTTGAGGGGTCAGCTTGCTAAGCTTTAACGCGTCTCTTACGCGTGAATCAACCGGATGATGCCTCAGTATGTTTTGACACATTTCTTGCATGATGTCCACTGCAGTGACATCGCTTTCAAATATCACTTCGCAGCACACTGCGCAGATACGAACAATAAAATATTCCCTGGATGGGCTTTGTGATTCAAAATCAATTGACGTGGAACGATTTGCAGAAATTTATAGTAATTGATAATAATTTGTATATTAAAAAAAAAAAAATCTTTTATCCAAGGCATACATTATACATTTCAATAATTTCTGTCTATTCAATTTTACAGCATGAAAATGTAAATCGTTTTTTAGAGATAAATATAAATTTGTATGCCAACGAGATGACTTCCAGTGATGTTTCTAACGCCATTGGACGGTCTTAGAACATAGAACCTTGATGTCTTACCCGATCCGTCGGAGTGACGTGGAGTGACAAGTCCTATGAACATAGGATGCAGAATTTTCGGCCACAGCACCGTGAAGCAGCCGAATACGATCGCGAGTATAAAAAATGTTTTTCTCGGTCCGAAGTCCGTTACCTCGGCCATTTTCGCGGTGGGTCCGTCGTTCGTAAAAGTTTCGCGCTTCGAGAAAACTTCGATAAAACTATGAACGGATCGCCAGGCCTCCTCCACGTTCACATACAGGCACCGCGAGGAGGCGGGACGGCAGCTGTCGCAGTCGCAGCGCACTGTCGTCTGCTATTTTTGTCATGTCGCAGCGGGGCCGTATCAAGATAACGTCGCCCCTTTCTTCGAATCTCAAAAGCTGCAAGTTACCGCAACAAGAGATCTGCGGAGTATAAAATCGTTAAAGAAATTGAAGTACGCTTGAAAGAAAATATTTCGAACTTGCGCATTGAATTGTCTATTCTTCAAAAATTACGCTGATAATCAGAGAAATAATTTTCTTAAAAAATTGTTCGAATAATTGAAATATATTCGAAAGAAAGACGAGCTTTTGTATAAATCTTTTTATTACATAAAAGATTTTAAACGTTCATTGCATTTAGAGATGTAAAAAAACATGTTCGATAGCTTGTAAATAACAGGCTATTATTAGACTATTATTATATACGCTCCTGGTTTGCTAAAAGCTATGAATCAAAGACAATCGGGAATTGCGAGTGATTTATTTTAGACCTATAATATTTATATCTTGAAAGATGTAATCGCAGAAAATCAAGATCTTTCCTCAGCTTGCTTCAGCTGTAAGAAATGCAGATAGATAATCATATCACAAATATGACATATTTTGTCAGAGTCTAATTGTCGTAGATCCAGGATCAACAAACATCGGCTGTTATTGGAATGAGCTAAAAGTGAAGCCAGAAATAGCAGGCCCTGGCAATGTCACAAGAGACCTTGTCCGATAGATGGCTGGTAAATATGAAATAATACTCGCTGCGCGGAATCTCTCTGTCACGTTCATTTATTTTAACAGCACATAGTCGATCAATAACAAAGTTAATTAAATATGGAGCTTACAGTATCCTAAATGTTTACGCTGCGAAAACTCATTCTGGTCCACCACGCTGAAACATGCAAGCGAGCACAAAATAAATGCAGAATATAAAACACTGGCAATATGTAATATAAAATATAAAAAAAAACTTTTTGCATATATTACAATACTCTAATATTTATGCAAGTTAACTTCCAGATTAAAAAAAAATATCTATTGAATAATCATCGAGAAACTTACATTAATATATTCGATCTCCTTTTGATCTATCGGTCGTCTCTGATATCGTGGCGGCAAATGAATGTCCTCTATTGTCGGCAAAACGATTACTTGGGGGCCCGTTGCACCACCCGCGCTCTGCTGCATCTGCGCCGATCCTGGCCGTGCAGATGGCGCGGCCGTCGCACTCGCAACTGCTAACCAACAACACGGATTAGTTTGGCGGCCAGATACTCCTTTTTGCGAAACGAATGATCGACGATCGCTTATGCCGAATTTGTTTGTTACCTGCGCGATCGAGGCCACCTTTACGGAACTTGATCATGGGCACGTGCGGTTGAACCACCTGCGAAAAAAATCATGCATCATACCTGTCGCGATCGAGCCGCGTATCGCGGAAATAGTTCGTTGATTTTTGTGCGTAATCATATGACAGAAACGATCCGATAGCTTCTGCGAATTTACGATACTGACCTTCCAAGCCTTGTTTGCCATCATAATTTTTTTTTCTCTAAGGAACAGCCGGGCGAACACCCCACGACTAATTTTGTCCGTAGCAGAAGTGCCTTCTCTTAATACATCGTAACCAACCTGTAGATGGCGTTTTGGCACACCTTTTCCGATGAACATTTAGCAACGGACTGTTTCGAATGAAGTGGAATGAGTTAAAAGCGTTAATGGCACTCTTACATTCCCTCACAGAAATTTAATTCAATACTAGCTAATATAATACTGGAAATTACATTTTGAATATTTACAACACTGTTGTTCAGTGCTTTTACTCAAAATAAGTGAATAATCATTATCTTCCAGTATTAAATCTCTATAAATTCTTGAAAATAACACAGGAAATTAAAAGAATCCACTGACTGAATCTCTAATTGTTAACATTCTTAACTTCTCTTAACTTCTTCAGAGGGATTTTGAAGATGCTTGAATATTTTTAAATTTCGTTCTGCATTTTTTAAGATATCTAAATGAATGTTAGATGTTGCAGGTAGGAGAAATTTTCATTATTATTATAATTCTCAAGAAGAATAAAAATATTTTTGTATTATTATATTTTTGATATTTAATAATATTATTACTTTAGATTATTACTCTATTTATTTTTATTCTATTTATATTATTTAGTTTTTGTATTGTTGTATTGTTGATATACTATACTAGCTGCACACATATAACTGAAAAAGATAAATTTAACTTGAAAATAGAATAAACTAATTATAATGTTAAAATGATAAATAGAATTAAATAAATAAAGAAATAATTAAAAAATAAATACAAGAGAACAGAATTTCATTTTTCTTTCAAATTTTTTGGAATTTATTTTATTTTATCTACATAATATTATTAGAAATTATATTAGAATAATGTTATTAGTAATAATTAACAAAACTATTAATTCTGATATAATTTTATTTAATTATATTTATTATTTATGTAATAAAAAATTTTAAATTATTATATTATAATGATTGTGGATTGTACTATTATATTGCTATTATATTACCGAACATATAAAAAATGCGTGTCAATTTTTTAATATTGCAATACAGGAAATATTATATTTATAATTATAATATATTTTATATTATATTATAATATATTAATATATAACATATTGTAATATGTAATATATAATATAATATATAATATAATATTATAATAATATAATATAATATGTTATATTATATTATATTATATTAATTATATAATTTAATATTATTATGTATATAATAAAATTATATGTATTATGTTCAGCTTTTTCAACTATTTGTAGGAACTTTTGGATCGTTTTATCCGCAGACGTCATATTTATTTCTTTATTACTGTTTTTTTCAATTGCAATGGAATTAGGGTGCAAATATTATTAAGATACAATTGCGGATCTTGCAGAGTGAAGCCGGACAAGATATGTGCGATCTCGAATAGCAGTTCCACGAAATGTTTAATTTGTTGGATCTTATAACCAAGAGATGTCTTTTTCCAAAGATGTTGGATGATAACGTTATCGGGGTTGATCTCGAACTGCTTTCTCATCTTCTTGTATTCGGTGAACTTGGCACATTTCGGCGCCATTTGCCCCTTTACGATCCTCTCCATGTTGGCGGTGTAGCTGCACCGTGAGGTCATGATGCAGCAGGGCGATTTTTCCAATCTGTTAGAGATCACGACTCTGTCCACCTTACCTTTTAAGATCCTGTACATCATTATACACAATCTGTTGAATTTGACAGCGTCCTCTGCAATCTTCAACTTTTCAATCTCGTTCTCGAGAAGCTTGCAATCCTCTTTGGCAACAGTCATCATCCTTTTTCTGTCATACGAAAACAATATTTGTGCCATTATGAATTCGTCGATGATATCAGTCATATAAATTACTTCTAAATCGCGATCTTTTATGCGTTCGGTGACCACGTTATTCTTTACTTGCTGCAGATTTTCACCAATAATATAATAAATATATTTTTGTCCATTCTTCATTCTCTTTACATAATCATTCAATGAATGTATTTCGTTACCGGATGCAGAAGTGTAATATCTTAAAAGCTCTATCAATTTATCTCGATTGACTTTATCCCTGTAAACACCTGACTTGATAATTCTTACCAAACTGTTCGTAGAATTTCTTATAGAGAATTGCGTTCTTTTGAAGATTGTTGAGGAGCTCGAAACAGTTTTCTACGATTTTCTTACGGATGATGTTTAGGATTTGACTGCGTCGCAGCGTTTCACGACATATATTTAAGGGAAGATTTTGGATATTAACGATACCCTGTATGAAATTCAGATAACTCGGGATTAATTGTACGCAGTTGTCCATCATGAAAATGCGCCTGCTGTACAATTTTATATGATTCCTTTTCGTCATATCTTCTTCCGGAATGCGACAGGGAACATAGAGTACACCTTGAAATTTCAATGGATGGTCCACGAAGAAATTCTTTACAGCGAAATATTCATCACTTTTGCTTAGTAATTTATAAAAATTTTTATATTCATGTTCTTGAATATTTAAATTTTCGATCAAAACAGATTTTATTTCATTGAGTATTTCGTATTCTGTACATTTCTCCCTGATCTTTTTCTCATCTTCTTCTTTGTTTCCTTTCTGCACAAGCAATTTGATCGGATAGTCAATTAATTGAAAATATTTCGAGACGAGTTCTCTAATCTTGCTTTCCTCTAAATATTCAAAGCGATCGTGCTTAATGTAAAGAATAATCTTCGTACCACGTCCCAATGGTTCATTACAGTCGTATCTGACACTGAAATATCTAGTCGAATTGGACTCCCACAAATATTGCTCGTCATCATCATGCTTGGATATAACTGTTATTTTATCAGCTACAAGATATGCGAAGTAGAAGCCTATGCCGAATTGACCGATCAAAGAGATATCAACATCAAGCGCGAGAGATTCTTGCATTCCAGATTTTGTAATTATTCCAAGATTCTTGATCATGTCGATCTTAGTCATGCCAATGCCAGTATCGATAATAGTCAGAGTACGATTATACTTGTTTGGAATAATTTTGATGCACAGTTCTTCAGAGTTGTCAAATTTTAAAGGCTTTGATAAAAATCTATTATAATGAATCATATTCAAAGCATCGATGGAATTTGAAATTAATTCTCGGAAGAAGATTTCCTCATGCGGGTAAAAAGTATTGAAAATTAATAACTTGGTAACGTCTACCTTGAAGGTGAAAGTCTCGACGTCACTGTTTTCGATCTCCATTTGTCCAAACAACTAAAAAATTAATTTTTAACATTAAATTATTAGATTAATTATAATTAACAAATTATCAGATTATATCTAATATGTATCAATTTATAATATAATACCTGATTGGACATGATATAGAGTTTGGATAATATTAGATATTATATTGAAGGTTTCGACAATGAATAATACAAAGCGAGAAACTATTTTAGACACTTTAGTTGTCATTGTATAAAGTTTTACCTTATTATTATTAATTACCAGTATGGAAAAATATGAAAAAGTACGAAGATACAAATAATAATCAAATTTTTCCGTTACCTTATCTTATACTTATATTTACATGCTAATATAAATCATGTTTACAATGTTTGATAAAACAAAATTTATTTACAAAATAGGATTTTTAGATACAAATAATAGATTATTATCTAAATTTAAATATCTTTTTTTGTTACTTTATTCTATTTAACATTATTATGAATTATTAATCATTCTTTTCAGTTAAAGTTAAATACGAATGCTTTTAATCTTGTTTTAAGGTTTCTTTATAATATTACAAATTTTGATGTTTCAAAATATTAGAATAATTAGATGCATTTTTACGACGCATTTTTGTTTTTAATTTTAGATATATACATATAATAGTATATAATAATTAAACGATATCATGTCGAGTATATGAGTCACTTACATATAAATAAATCGATTTTAAATCTCTTAGCTTGATAATCGCAAAGATTATTGACATAGCAAGAGAAGAAAATTATTTGTATAAAATTTATTATTTATTTCACGTTTGAGAAGTCTTAAAATAATGTTGATAAAAACTAGAATAATTAAGTATATTTTCTAAGATTGTCGATTTTCTAAGTATTTTCTAATCAATTTGCATTTTTTCGAAGCAAGATATTGAAAAGCATAATATATAAAAAATAATATGCATATATATAAAAAGATTTTCTTTTGTAATGTGAAACCAATAAATATGACATGTGATCTATAGTTAATATTTCAAAGCAAATTGTTATTTCTTAAATTATCTCATTTATTTATAATAAAAATATAAGGAAAGAAAAATTCTAAGAAAATATAAAGCATCTGAGGGTTTCCAAATAAAAAATTTTTTAATAAATATTGATTTATTAAACAAAGACAAAATAAAAATTTTATTATATTAATAAACGGTATTTTTATAAATAAATAAAACTTTTTTTCCAACCGGTAAACTTTTCTTATAATCTGTAATATACTGCCCTCTATAGTTGGTACAATATTCAAGACTAATAAAATAGAAAAAACAAAAAATTATATATTTTTATAAATGCAAATGTTTATGTTAGTTCCAAAGATATTTATCGAACTTGGCTTTAAAACATTTTTCAGAATAATACAAATATGAACGAAATCTCTATATAAATAGAAGAGATAGCACAAATAGCTATTTAATTGTTAATGTTTATCTTTGCTATAAATTATTTTAATTTGCCAACTCTTTTTGAAAAATGTTAATTCAATTTTAAGAAAAAAAAATGTATTTGATTAAACGTGTTGCAGAATTAATATAAAAATTTAATTTTAAAATTTAATTTTTAATTTTGAATTGTTATATTGTAAGTTAAAAGCAATGGTTGGCAATACGTAAGCAATTATCTTATTTTTGAATTTATGTAAGTTAAATTCAAAAATAAAAAGATTATTAAGATCCTATCTTCTTCCGGAATATTGCCGAAATTCCTTTCCATAGTTTAACATATTCTCGCTTATATATTTAAACGTTTAACATAATAAACTTTTTAGAATAACGAATAATTATCAGCGTCTCTGTAAAAGTAAGCGTGATAAGAAACAGGATAAATTTGTTCGTCATTCTTCGCGCTTTTAGACATTTTGTACTTCACGGAGAATCGAAAGATTTTCACGATACTGTTTTCGATTTTTATGTACAATTTAAACAAAGCCAGTAGTTTTTCCTGCAATATCACGCCGGACGTGTTCGTTCCTGTGGTCGCATATACATATGTATAATTGGTAAACATATCCTGGCTTCTTTATTGTGGGAACCATCGTCGTCACGCACCGTGTCGGCACACACTTAAAATGTAACGTTTCATAGGCACAGCGTGTGTTTAATGAAACAACTCGTTCCGTTCTCGAGTCGTGCCTCCGTTGCGTTAACGCTGTACTTGCGAATCTTTGTACATTATTACTAAACGGTGTCGCGCAAAATAAATTATCAGCCTGTCTATTAATAAATTACAGCTGATACCTGCCACAAAAACCGCACTTATCTGCAATACTAATACTAATACGATAAGCAAGTGATATTATAATAAAAAATAATATTAGTAATAAATAAGACATAGTCAAATGACACGAATGAAAATAACACTCGGGAAAAAAAATAGCCAATGCTACAAAAGTTACAAAATTATTTCGGAAATAAAACTTAATTCTTTCGTGGTGAAAATATTAAAATATCCAAAAATAGCAGCTTCGTGAATAAGAACATTCACGTTGAATGTCAATCGCAGATCGTTCAATGAATTTAGAATCGGGCTTTTCTTTATCCGACGAAATATCGACGAAGGCCAATGGTGAATTTATCTCTCCGAAAGATCCGAAATTGGGACCAATTCCGTGGGGATCCCGTGCCATTAGCGGCGATTTCCGACGCAATATCGTGGACTTTCTCCAAAGCGATTATCGTAATCGGTAAGAAATTGTCTTCAGCCGCGCGATGACCGCGTGATGTATAGGTGCGAAATAACGCGCGCGTCTCTGAAAAGTTCTCCTCTTCCTCCTCCTCGTCCTTCTCTTCCTCATCTCTCGACAGGCCGGTCACGAGCAACCGACACTAACAACAATTACAAATGCCCGGCTCGTAGTTTCACGAGCGCGAAGGGAATACAGAGAGTCGCATAACAGCTAGACGGTATTCGCATTCGCCCTGTTCCGCACATCGGAACCGGGACCGATGTCGCTTACCTCTTTATGGATCCCTGTTTGCCCCGGCTCCTCATACCCGAACACACACGGGCCCATTGTGAGGATGCCAACGGCTGAAAATCGACAATACCATAGAAGAGATCCTTTCCGTTTGAAAACGTGAGAAAGGAATGATTTCGTGACGGGATGGGGAGGGGGGGGAGGGACGTACGTTGTTTTATTTGGAGATTTCGCGGCGGGCAACGGGCACCGCGCAACAATGATCTCGACATCCGAATTACCATCGAATCACATCGCCGCTGAAGACATTAACGCATTTTATCGCAAACTCGAATCTTCCTTCTTTTTCTTCCCGGCTGCGTCTTTGTATCTCCGATAAGTCAATGCGTCCGCGATGACACGTCCAGGACACGTCGGGTGTAACAGTATCGAGGTCTCGAGGTGCTTTATTTTCGCTGAAGCGTAGAAACGCAGGGGAAGATCGGTGGTTGATATGGCGAGGAGCTTAACTCCGGTAACCTAGCTTTATGATGTCGATAAAACTCATACAGCTAGATAACCAAAGAGAATGTCCACGCCAAGATCCTCTTGATCGCAGTATGAAATTTTTCCTCGATTGCGACGATTCGAGTCTCTTCGATTACAGAGTCAGCAAAATATAAGTTTGCGTGATTATTAAAACAGCTTTAAAATTAAAATATTACGCCATGCTCTTTTATAAGATGATCCACATTATTTTCAGCGATGTTCAAATTAATACAATAGATTAAAAAATATAAATATAATTGGCAATATTTTATCCTTATATAATAAAAAAATTACTGTAAAATGAATGATTCTTCAAAAAATATTTCTTTTTCCAATAATTTTTTAAATAAATCGCAGAATAAGAATATCGATATAAATTGGAAATAAGATGCAAGCCGAAACGAGAGTTTCTCCTTTCCAATCGGAGAAGATCACGTTAGTCCCTCCACTTTTCTTACGACGTCCCGGTCGCTCGTGATCACGTCGTCATACGCACGCGGCCATCGTATCTGCCATCTGAAACAGATACAGAGAGAAATCGTAAATCGCTTTACA